ATTTTTATGTTATTTTTTAGCTTTTTGAGTTACAAAACTATTTATTAAAGTTTTTATAATCAAGTAATTCTAACATCTCACTCTCTATAGATAATATAGTTAACATATTCAATCTATCTTGTAGTATAGTTGATCTTAAATATGATTTAATCAATTTTAATTTTAAAAAACTTCTTTCAGCAGTCACAACAGTTACATGTAATATTAATAATATTCTATAAGCAATGTATGCATTTGGAAAAGAACATGATCTTTTTTATATAGTTCAATATGTTTAATGGTGTGTTAATTTCATTTGTTAGAATTTCTTTCAATAACTTTAATTCTGAAAACAAATCAAGACCATCAATATCAAAATGGTCCCCAAAACTCAAAATCTTTTCAAGATTGATACAATATTTTTTCAATTAATCTTCCCCTAAAAAGTTTTAAATTTATTTGAATCAACTAAAAAACCAAACATGTTTTCATATTCTAAAAATTGTTCAAATCGACTCTCAATAGAAGAAATATATTGATCTAATATATACAAAAAAAATCAATGTGAAAAGAATCTCCAGCTGAATGAGCTATCTCATCACTATCAATGTCATAAAAATGTTTTTTTCCTATGAATCTTACGTTTTTCATTGAACTTAGGCTTTATATCCATTTCAATATAGTCATTTCTTTGGTGGATTCTAACGCAGATGCAAAATCATTTTTCCTATAATTTTTTAAATAAGTCATAAGACCTTTTAAGTGATCTATAACAACATCTAAATATTTGAAATATAAAACAACAAATATTGGTATTATCTTATTCTAAAAACAAGGAAACAAATCCTAAAATAATGAAAATAGATTAAATCTAAATATTTGAAATATAAATAAAATATTTTTATCAAAAACTAATTTATTCTCCTAAATATATTTAGGCATATTCTCAACAAGAGAGAATGAGAAATAGATAGACTAGAGAGAAAATAAAGAAGTTAAAAATAGATAGACTAGAGAGAAAATAAAGAAGTTAAAAATCTATCATCTGTAAAAGATAAAAGTAAGTAGTAGTGACCGTTAAGTGTTGAGTGACTTTTTATTTACAAAAACTAATAAATGGGTTGTGGTCTTTTAAGTAATTTTAATAATAAAAAAATAAAAGATATAAAAAAATGTAAGATATGTGTCTTATAAAATATTGGGCCTTATCTTAAATATTATTAATTTTTTAAAAATTAATTTATATAAATAATACTACTATTGAAAAAATTTGGAGGCCTTATAAGTTTGGAGGCTCTAGGCATTAGCCTTAATTGCCTTATTGAATGTCCGGCCCAGACCTCTATTGTTGTAGTGAGAAAGCTTGATCCTTAAATAGTAGTTCTAGAGAAGATGACCGTTACAACAATGTTGGATTTAAACGTTCAAATTTCATTACAAATTGCTTCATCTATCTTCCTTTCTGGTCTTAGAGATTACCATTGATGCATTTAATGCGAGCATATAAATACTTATTAATGAAATGTCTATCTCTCAACTACTTTTCAATATTTCTTTCATAGTAGAAGTAGTGTCAAAGTAGAGCAGTTAGAGGTTGGTGTAGAGTAGTCCTTTTCAGTGTCTTGTTCGTGATATCAAGGATTTTTCTCTTTCTATCCTGACACAAGGATTTGACATTTCCTTTATGCGAGATTGCATTGGAAGCTCCTTCATTCGATCTGTTAAGGAATAAAAAGTTAATGCTTCTTAAAGACTAGGCTAAAATAGTATTTTAGTCCCTTATAGTAATTGTTTGTTTCAATTTAGTCCCACTTTTATTTTTTGTCTCAATTTGGTCCCTAATAAATTAATTGGTTGCAATGTCGGACTTCCGTCCAAATTATTTAAACGGAGTTAACTGTTGGCGACGTGGATGCCACGTAGATGCATAGGTGGATGCCAAATTTTTTGAAAACACCTGGAACTAGAACGGCTCGTTCTGAAACCAGAACGGGCCATTCTGGGTGCACTCTTGGTGTGTTAATTTTGCATCCGGAACGGCCCGTTCCAGGTGCATATTTTAGGTGGGAGGGACGAATCAGAGCGACAAGGGCTGAATCTCAGTGGATCGTGGCAGCAAGGCCACT